CATAAACATTTGGGAAGAAAGAATATTAAGTAATTACAACAAATGGTCCCTGGGCAAGAGTCTCCAATTCATTATGATCCCAGGTGAGGTAAAGTCACCATAGTCTCATAGGGCTGCTCCCTCATAAGAGGAAGATGTCTGGTGGTGATTTAAGCCCAAGGATCATCATGTCCCATGTGAGGGGTGACGTTGAGAAGGTGGAACTTCCATTGCAAACTCATCCGGTCCAGAAATCAACCATCCATCCAACTGAGCTAACCAACCTCCTTCCCAGGTAAGGAGGGAGGGACTGACTTCCCTCTTTATTCAGCACTCCCCTTCCTGATTTGCTCGCAACAAGATTAATTTAAAACAAAGGATCCCCTCCCTCATGAATACCTTTCCTACATCCAATGTATTTCTGTTTTAAAAGTTCAAAAATCACACGACACCAGGTTATAGTCCAGCAGGTTTATTTGAAAATACAAGTTTTCGGAGCCTCGCTCAGAATTTATATGTAAAAGATCAAAGGGTCACACCGCTGATGAGGATGTATTAAACAAACCTAAGATGCTGCTAAATCTTTAATCAGTTAGAAGATTTTAATTGATTAATATGTATATGTGAATCCACAAATTCCTTTCAAGTCACCGTCCTGAGAGAACTAAAGGTTTTATTAGCGTAAAGAAAAGGTGACGTTTTAGGTCAGACAATGCATATTAGGTGTGAGGCCTTGTTTAGAATCTGACCCCACCTCTTCTTTACACTGGTAAAACATTTAGTTCCCTCAGGACAGTGACTTGAAAGGAATTTGGCAATTAACATATATACATAAATCAATTAAAACTTATAACTGATTAAAAATTTAACAGCATCTTAGGTTTGTTTAATACATCCTCATCAGTGGTGTGACCCTTTGATCTTTTACTTACAAATTCTGTGTCTGATACTACCTCTCTCACTAACACCTGAAGAAGGAGTGATGCTGTGAAAGCTTGTGATTTCAAATAAACCTGTTGGACTATAACCTGGTGTGCAATTTCTGACCTTGTCCACCCCAGTCCGACACCGGCACCTCCACCTTATGTTTTAAAAGAAGCAAACTAAACCAGTCTTTGAGTTAAAGAAAGAATGAATTTATTAATTAATAAAACCTGCAAATTTAACAGAAAGGGATTGTCTGTGACTGCAGAGTTGACTGTGGTTTTTAATTCTAGAAATCAGAAAGAGAGAGAGATAGAGAGAAACCTTCAAGTCTTTTCCTTTAACCTGCAAGCACCTGAGTGTCTAGTAAATGTTCTCAGAATAGTTACAAAGATGATTGATTACGATTACATGGATAGACTTGAAGCTGGATTTGTTCTTTGTAGAATAGAAAAGGTTAGGAGTAGATTTGATAGGAGAGTTTGAGATCGTGAAAGTTTAGTTAAATAAAAATAAACTGTTTCCAATGGTTGAATGATCAGTAACCAGAAATCATTCATTTGGGGAGATTTGTAAAAGAACTAGAGGTAACATGAGGAAAGATTTCTTTTACACAGCAGATGGTTAGAGTTTGAAATGCCATAAAACTAGGATCCTTTTGAGACGTATAGATCCTGAGAGTTCTTGTCAAGGTGGCTGCTGAAGTGACGTTGACCCTTGACAGCAAGACTAGAACCAACAAACACAATTTAAAGATAAGACAACTTCCATTTAAAATGAAAATGAGGTGAGTCTTTTCTTTCAGAGGGTCATGTGTGTTCAGAATTCTCTTCCCTAGAGAACTGCAGAGAATATTTTCAAAGCAGAGGTAGATTGATTATTGAATAACAAAGGAGTTTAATATCATTGGGGGAGTTGGAAGGTGGAGTTGAGGCCACAATTAGATCTTATTGGGTGGTGGAGCAGACTCAAAGTGCCAAATGGCTGACCCCTGTTCCTAATTTTTATTAGTACTTTAAATGCCATTTCAATATTCACTTGTCTATCTTTCATATAAATAAGTGCTTCGTTTCTTGCAAGAGTAATAAGTATATTTTTTCCAAGAGAACAAAGAACATACATATGGATTGTGCATCTGGACATGGAAATTCTGAAGAAAATGGAAAAATTTTCATCTCATATTATTTTTGGACATAATGCAAAATTTCAACTGCAGTTCTCAAAGGATTACTCACCTACAAATATATTTGCTTATAACAAACTGGGACTGATCAACTTGTGTTAAAGGATAGGCATCATACCTCTCCAGTTTAAGTTAGAAGGTTCAGGTCTGTAGACTGTTAGTGGGAGTAGCTCAGCCCCTTCCAGTAACCTCTGGGAGGTGTATGGCTCATCCATAAATACCCTTGCAAAGACAGATGACTGGCTGAAACCAGATGCCAGATATCTGATTAGTTCCAGATACGTGCAGTTAAAATTCTGTCTGTACTTGTAATCTTACTTTATGTTAGATGATAATTCAACAGTATATTACAGTTTAAAAACAACCTAAGGAACTAAACATTTGTGATCATTTTGGTGTTAAATTGTACAAACAATTAAACAGTACCAGATTCTAAGATTGATACAGGTCAATAATAGGAAAATAGCTTCAGCATAATTATGTAGAAACCTTTACTAACCAATGCTGAATTATATTTTGGTTACATTTTAATAATAGTTTTTTTTGCAGAGGGATCATTAGAAAATGAGATTTGAAAGTGGACAACGTAGAAGTTTTTAATACCACAGTATGTCCTCAGGCAATCTCACCTCCTGATAAACCATACAATTTATACTGCAGTTATCCGTAGAGAACT